CTTAATCTCTCTAGGATTTCTCAAGAGCAAAGATCCCTCAGAGATGAGAAAGTGGTTTGCTTACATCTTCAGAAGCTTTTCCAAGGAAACAGATTTTGCTCCCTAAGTATCTATGTTGTGTGTCTGTTGGGCTTCTCTTTAGTTGAAAGGAAACTTTCTAGGTGCAATCTCCTCCTCCTCCCACTCTCTGGGCTTGGGTGCAATTCCTGCCAAGAGCAGGATTGGCCTTGGAAGCTGTTTTAATGATTGTTCCCTTTTACACCTCAAAAACCTCAAAAGCCAGTTTTTTAGATCCCCAGTGGTTCTTCCAATATTTTTAAGCTGGATGTGAATGACTGCATGAAGGGGAAGGGATGAGCCTGCATGGGCAGAGGTGGATAAATGTGGTGGCATGTGCGTGTTTACGGGAATCAGTGAGTGGAGTTCTGTAGCTAAAAATGGAATAAGACTATATATAAAAAGATGAGTATGCAAAGGTGTGTAGGTGTAAAGGTGTACGAGTAGGATTGGGTCAGAACATATTGTGTCTACATCTGTGCTACTGGGGATGGCTTTGGATAGGTGGGAGTGTTTAATATGGACTCAGGAGGGGGTGTGTTGATATGTATGGATGGGAAGTGTACGTTGTGACAATGTGCGTTAATCCGTTTGCAAGGGGGGTGTATGTTATGTGTTAACCAATATGTATAAACTGGAAAGTAAGTTATCTGGATGTGTGCTAATGATGTAGGGTGTTAGAGGGTTAATGTATGCAGATAGACATTGCATATATGCCTATTTTAATACATGGATGAGCGGGTGTGTTGTATACATGTTGATGTGCATACATTGGGCGTGTGCTGTGAATACTGATATGTATGGACAGGTGTTTGTGTTGTGTGTGAATGTTTCTGACTGTGTGCACGTATGTTGGGAAGGACGAGTGTGTACAGACAAAAGAGTGCGTGTGTTGTCTCCGTGTTAATGCGCACAGATGAATTGCATAGGTTGTGTACGTGTTTATTGTGTTCTGGTGACTCACCAGATGCTTAATTGTGCGCGGCCATGGACGCGCGCAGCTTTGAGGGAACCTTGCTGGTGAGGTGTGCATGTTAGGTGCTTATGAATCTGTATGGATGGGTATGTGCAATGTGCGTTGGTGGGATGCTAATAGGTGTATAAAAAAGGGGATATGCTGGTGTGTATTCAAGTGCCTGGACGGGCATGTGCATTGCATGTGTGTGTTAACGGTACAGATGTAGACATGTGCATGTTGTGTGTTAATATGTACAGATGAGGAAGTTTATGTTGTGGATATTTGTGTATGGGTATATTCTGTGTTTTTTAATATGTGCAGATGGGAGTGGGTGTGTGTTTGTATGGGGATGATGTGTGTATATCTATAATATTCGTGTGCATGGAAGTGAGAGAGAGAGAGAGAGAGAAGTGGGGATGTGTGTGGTGGTTGTGCACGTCTTTGTCAGTGCGTGCTTGTGCATTTACATGAGCAGCACACACTCCAATCCTGTACTCCCTGCTATAAGACTGTGACGTTAAACATTGTCCTCAGGGTGTAGATACACAAAGAACAGCAAGAGGAACTAAATAATCCACCTGCCTCTGGAGCTTTTTGAAAGTCTGCCAGGACTTTGGGCAGACAAGGGCTGTCCCTGACAATGTCTTGTCTGGGATGTGTGCTGGCTGGGGTCGGGGAGAGGAAGAGAGGATGCTGACAGGGCAAGAGGTCTTGCAAGCTCTGAGGCTGAAGCCACCAATGCATACCCATGCCCCACAGAAACCCACCCTGGGTACAGGAGGCAGGGTGGAGCAGAGGAAGTTCGAGGGAGCAGGCTGGGGAGATCGAAACAAAACTTATTCTTCTCAAGGGGTAACTGTGCGCAAGGGACTCAAAACATCCTGATGGGGGAAATGAACAGGTAGAGTAAATTCTTCCCAAGCACAGGGGGAAATGAAGGAGGGGAACTGATGCAACCCAAGAGGGGAGATGAATGGGGAAGCAGCGCATCCCACAGAGAGGAGGTGCAAAGGGGTGGATCCAATGCATCCCATGGTGGGGAGCCAAGGAGGAACCAGTGGATCCATAGCAGAGCCAATGAATTGGTGGGGAGAGGGGGGGGGACCAGTGCATGCGCATGACCCTGCAGCTGCTCCAGTCCCTCCCCTTCCCCACCCAGGGGGGTCATTCGCAAACTCACCCTTGCCGCTCGGGATGAGTAGGGATCTTCGAAGAGTGCCCACATCTTGGGCTGCCAACTGCGACAGCATCCTCCCCCTCCTGCAGCTCCAGCAGCCCCTGGTGGCCTGTCATCCATGCCTAGGCGCTGGAGGGTCATGTCCCTGCCCCCTTCCTCCTCTGCCTCCTCTCCCCCTGCTCCTCCCCCAGGCTCAGGGCTCTCAAAGATGTCCAGCGCCTCCTCAGCATCCCGGTGCTGGCGGTAGGTCATCCAGCAGCAGGGCTCTACGTCGGTCTCGTCGATGCCCCAGTAGGTCAGCTCCTCCTCAAAGAGGGGCCCGCAGATGTCAGCAGGACAGTGCAGCTTGCCCGTGCGGTAATAGTTGAGCACGTAGGAGAAGATGCCAGGGTGGCGGTCAAAGAAGAACTCGTTGCTCTTGCCATCAAAGTCAAAGTTGCTCTGGGCATCGGGGTCAGCCAACCATGCCAGACGGGTACCGGGCAGGGTGCGCAGGGTGCTCTTGTAAGTCTCATGCCTGGTCCCCCCTACATTGATGGTGATTTTGTCCGACTCTTCCCCCTTGCCCATCTCCTCCTTCAGGCATGTTTTGGAGGGTGGTTTGTTCCCAGACTTACGCCCACGGTACGATGAAACACACACCGAGCTGATCATAGATTTAGGTGGACGGGAGATGCCCTCTAAACACCCTTCCTCTGGCAAGGAGCTGGGAGGGAAGAGAGGTGGGGGAGAGCCAGGGGGGAGCTCAGATTTCTCTCTCCCCAACCTCAGATGGCTCTGCCCGGCGCTTGCCTCATCGAGCCCTCTCGGGAAGAGGGGGCTGCTGTGCACAGGTGGTTGCTTCAGAGGGAGACGGCAGAGGAAGGAGATCAGATCTAAAGACCCAGGTCCCCTGCTCCAAATCCACCAAGCAGCAACAAGTAAATCCGCACTGGGAAGAGAGCAGAGCAGCGATGGAGGGTTGTGCCACTGCTCCACAGCCGGGAAACTAATAGCAAAGGCACTTTGATCTCTTCATTAAGGGAACAAAAATCTGTGTGTATCTCACCGAGGGAAGATGATTCACAAAACAAAATCTTGAGAACAAAAATGAAATACTTTTTCTCCTGCTGCTGCTGCTGCTGAAGTATCTGCCTCCCCCCTTGGCTTGTGTCAGCGGCGCACACACACAAAAATCCAAAACAGACTCTTTCCAAAGTAGACTTGAGAGCTTCACCCTGGTTCAAAATAAATTTGAAAGTTTGAAAGAACCCGAAGGGAAATGATTCAAATCTACACCGCAAGACAAGCCCTCTTTACTTGCACACACATGCACGCACACCACACACACACACACACACACACACACACACACAGTTATCGATACCTGGTCTTGTCTATATTTAGAGTGTTTCTTTCCTTGTGTTATATTTCCCTCCACAAAATAACGCGGACTAAACCGTTTTCATGCACTGGCTCCTGCCTGCAAGAGAGATCCCTGCTTATCGCGCTGCTCTGGGAAGTAGAGTAGAAAGCACATCACCAGTTGCTCCTGACCAAGGCAAAGGTGGCGTCCCCAAAATCAAGAGGGACTGGTTTTGGTCTCCTCTATGGCACCTTCATCTGCTTTCAGACACTCCATTGAATCCGCTTCCCATCCGAGACCACCAGACCCATGGGCACACTGGCTTTATTTTGAGAAAGAAACACCCAACTCAGAAAGGATGGATAGATTTTCCTCTCCAGGGGAGCTTCTGACCCAAGGTGGGCCCTTGGGACACTGCAGGGTCTCTGGGCGGTGTCAGTTTTAGGTCGAGGAGACGTATGCACACTTGTCAGCAGACTTGCCCCCTCTCTCTGCCTCTCCTCTCTGATCCAGGGTTGGGTTTCAGCACCAAGCCGATCTCAGTAGCATGAATGGGTGGGATCTACAGGCTGGCTGTGTATCAGTCGCTGGCGGCTCACGATCACTTTTTGCATCGGCAGCACGGAGCGGGGGTACAAACAGAGCAAGGTCGCAGCTCAGGGGCTGGTGCAGCTCTCTCCCACCCCAGGTATCTTCTTGCATCACCCGGCAGGTGCTGGCTCCTGGCTTCACAGGCTGGGGGCACAGAGATCTGTTGCTTCTTTGCTTCTCTCTTGCTCTCTCTCCACCTTCCCAGGCAGGGATCCAGCAAGGGAGGGGTTCTCCGAAGGCAAGTGTGCGTGTGTGTCTGTGCGCTTCGGGGAAGGGGGGCAGCTCAGAGAAGCAGAGGGCTGCTCCAGGGGGAGGGCAGAGGCACATCCATATTTTGGGGCTGCTTGGGAAGCGCCTCTTGCTGTTCGTTGCTTTTACACTCCGCTCCTGGCTTCCCAGTGAGTGGTAGCTCAGCCCCTCTCTTTTCTCCTCTCTGAACTGATTAACCCTTCCAGCGCTGCATTGCAGCACAGCTTGCTTTGTGCCTCGATGTTTATACGCATTTGACAATCCATCCGTTACCTGTCAACCTAGCCATCCCCACCTCACCCTCCTCTCTCCAGCCCCATCTGCCTATCCCCATAAGCATCTGGCTAGCTAGGCATCATCCATGAGCTGCACCCTAATGCCATCTGAGGCTCTCTAAACACTCATTCAAGAAAGGTTTGGATGCTTATCTTGCTGCGACCCTTTGTCCCTAGCTGCCTTCCTACCCCTGAGGTAGGGGGCTGGACTTGATGACCGTCAAGGTCCCTTCCAGCCCTAACTTCTATGAAATCTATGAAATCTTTACTAGCAGTGCTTCAAGCCTTAGTCCACAGAGATGTAGCAATAGAAGTCTCTTCATTTCACTGTTGGTGAATGCAGGCGAGAGATCTGGAGAGACCTGGCTGGGGATAGGGAGCCAGTTGCTTGCAGAGCCATGAATAGAGCCTGCACTATTGTATTTAGTCCTAAGCTCTACCCACAGCTCTGTCTCGCAGGCAGATCGAGAGCTAGTTACCATCTGGGGCTAGATCCTCAAGTGGGATGCACATCACTCCATGAGGGTCCGGGATAATATAGTCAGCTATCTCAGAGGACATATCCTCTCCACCTGTTCTCCCTGATGCACTAGCCTGCCCTGAAGAGCTAACGTGGAATGAGACTGCCTGAGTCTGTTCACTTCTGCACACCTCCTTCCCTTCCCGAGCACAGTATTTATGGGGTTTTATGGACCCGTCCCCCTTCCAGAGCATCTGTCAAGGGTCCATAATGTGCACAGCAAGTTCAAGGAGCTTTCCAATGGTGCCTGGGCTAAGCGTGTGCCAGAACCCAAGGACAGGATAACCGATGGTCCCATAAAGCAGGGTCCATCTAGTAGCAAGCTCTCACACCTGAAAATGCTCCTTCCCAGAGACAGCTGTGCTGCTTGATGTCACGTGCCTTGGATGAGCCCTCAAGCAAGCTCCCATTGGGTGGCTTGTAGTGACTGCCCAGGTAGAAGACTTCAGACATTTTGGGAAAGGGAATAGGGGACAAAAATAATTTCCAAGGCCAATGCCCTGTGTACTGGAGGTCAGCGTCAGCTGCATGGTGTGCCTAGGCTGGCCCACTCCACAGGACCTTGGGTGCTCGAGCCACACGCAACGCCGACATTCTGGACTGAGCAGGCCAGCGCAAGGATGTCACTCCTGCCTCATCCAAAACTCAGGGAAGAGAGTCAATGGGGGCCTTTCCCCAAGCTCAGTGGGGTTGGGATCTGGCCCACTGTCACAGCAGAAGTCCAGAGAAAGGCTCTCATGACTCTTCTCTCTTGGACTGGAGGCGGGATGGGGAGGTAGGGGTAGGGTGAAGGACCAGCTCAGGTAGTGGCTTCAGCCTCAGAGTTCCTTGCTGCAGTCCCTGCTGCCAGTCCAGCCAGGGCTTTGTCATGGGTGCTGAGATGGAAAGCAGCAAGTCCCTCCTGCTGCAGCCACTGCAGCTCCCTGGAGTCCATTCAGTGGCATCCACAGCAGTGACTTCGGCCCCAGGTCCACATCTCCACAAGTGCTTAGTGCTGCAGACAGACGCCACTAGTTCTGCTGCCCTGGGCATTCTCTCCACCCCATCATTAACTGCTTCTTGCATGGGGTGAATGGGCTTCTGCAGTCTCTCTTTGCATATCCAAGGAGGGATGGGTGTAATTGGATGCTTATCTTGCTGGGATCCTATGACCCCAGCTGACTTCCTGCCCTTTGGGCAGGGGGCTGGACTCAATGATTTTCTGAGGTCCCTACCAGCCCTAATGTCTATGAAATCTATGAAATTTGGCCCTTTGATGCGACAGAAATAAGTTCCATTACTTTTATGCTTGATCCACAGTTAAAGTAGTAAACCCAACACACTTCCCCTACAGTAGCTCGGGCACTGGACTTTAGGTGTCAGATCCACAGCGGGTATAAATCAGCACCGCTCTACCAAATGTAGGTAAGCCAGATGATTTAAGTTGGAGATTTGGCTCTTGGTTTCTTAGACTGGGGAAATTGTTGTTAAAAAAAAAGCAAACTCTACTGCTTCTCTGCATAATAAATCTATCATAATAGACCAAATCCTGCCTTCCTTAATGTGAGTCTGGCCAGAATTAAGTAGCAATAAAGGCTGTGGGGATGTGACCCAATGCTCAGATTTTACATTTATATAGTGCCTTTCATCCCCAGAGACCTCAATGTACTGAGCAAAGCATATCCTTCTAGCATCACTACAGTGCAGCCACCTCTGGGGTGGAAGGTGAAGTGCCCAGCCAGATAAATGACTCCCATGGGGAGAGAAGAGAAACTTTTAGCCAATGATACCAGTGCAGATCTGTACACTGTTCAAGAAGGCCATCAGACCCTTAAAGTGTCCATGCAGAAAGATGGGACCCTGGTGTACAAGGCCTCCTCAGAGAGAGACCCATGTCTGGAAAGAGCTCAGTTTGCCTCCAGCAGGAGGCTGAAGAAAAGCATTTTATTCCTTTTTCAGCTGAGAAGAAGTAAAGCTGAGGTCTGGGCCATTAAAGGTTTCATAGAGCAGAAGGCATATGGTCATCCCAGCATCCTTGCTAAAATGCCAAACACCGCATTTACGGTCTTCAGACCTCCACCTCTTGGGCAAGTTCAGCAAGATGTATTAGTGCTCCTCCCTGAACAGCGGGAGAGTGTTGCAGAGTGTATGGAAAGCCGCTACTTAGTACTTTTTCCATACACCCTTGCAAGTTCCTGCTCACAGCCTATGAGCAGCAGCGTATTGTCCATGAAGGCATGCTCTACCGCTAGTTTTGTGCTGCATCTTCTATTCAGGTGATCTGTTGCAAACCAGACTTGGTTCTGGGGGCAAAATCGTTGGGCTGAGACCCCCGAAGGATGAGCCTGAGTGCCACTTGCGACGGTCTCTGTACCAGGACTACCATATACACTGCGAAGGAACAAGTTGCACCAAGAAACTGCCCATGTTCCTGATCACAGACGTCTCCTTTAATAGGACTCTGACCTGCAGAGAAGCATGGATGGTGTTGTGGCTGTAACACCTGGTCCCTAGGCTGTTGTTGTTGTGGTGACAGTGCCATCTTGTGGATCCTTCCAGGATTTTAGGAGTAAGCTAGAGAGTGGTGAAAAAGGGCAGAGATCAGGGTTTTCCCCAAGCCAGACACCGAATCTGGTTCCATCCATTGCATTATCGAACATTTGCATCAGTAACATTTCTTCCACAAAAAGCAGAGATCCTTCCTTGAGAGCACCAACCTTAAACTTAAGAAGTCTGGATTTCCCAGGCTTGGGAAACCCTTTTCCACCAGCCTCCTGCGAACCTTCAGCTAGTCACCTTCCCCCCTGTGCCTCAGTTTCCTTGTGGGCAAAAATGGGGGTCTTAATGCCAGTCTCCTTTGCAAACCGCATGGAGATTTGCAGCTGAATGAGACTACTTGAGAGTTAGGGATTATTGCTGGTAGCAGCGTCTAGTACATGCTGGGTCCTTTCCAGACAGACTAGTCAGCGCAGGAGCATTTTGAACTACGGAGAACATTTCCTCTTCAGCCTTCCCTTCATTGCTTGAATTTGGCTTTCTGTAGGGCTTATGGGTGCCTTCCTGGAACTGCTCTGTCATTTCTTTCGATTCACCCATTCTGGCCGTGCATAAAAGTCGACTTCCAAAGAACCATGAAAGTGTTGGCATAGGCCTTTGCCTCAAAGGGTGCCCCCCGGCCCAGGATCACTTGTGTGCCTGCTATTTGAGGAGCAAAGAGAAACACAGGCTGCAGACAGAAAACCAAAACTCCCCTTCAGGGATGCTGATGATGACCTTTGTTTCCATGAGCTGAGAGATGGCTGCCGGGCTGCTCATGGCCAGATTTGGGATCAGGACAGAATTTCCTCTCCAGGTTAGACTGGTAAGGGCTGGTTTGGATTTTTTTCCCCCACTTCTTATCCTTTCCTCTGTAGCATGAGTTTGTTTCCTAGGTTCCTCTGGGCATATTTTACCCTTATACATCCCCTACTCTTGCAGTGGTCAGGCAGCATCAGTGCCTGCACCTCCTATGCAGTCTACCTGCAGCACATTGCTAGGGGACCTGCTGGCTATGCTATGTGACAGAGGCTAGAATGGACAATCCCACATAAAAGTTAGCAAAAAAAGTTTTGGGGGGTTTTTTTTGTTTCTTGGCAATGGGAGGCTTCTTTGATGCTCTGACCGGCTCTACTGTTGAACCGTGGGGGTTTGGCCTGGACTGATGAGAGTAATGCTCAGAGAATAAATGCTTTACTCTAAGCTAACAACCCCCAAGCCCTAAATACCCAGTGTCACTGCCCCGAGGAGCACAAAAGAGTCACAAGGCAGGCTGTAAAAAGCATGTGATTGACTTAAACATATAAATTGCAGACTTCTTGTGGTTCCTTCTGGGACTTGAGGCTTTGTTTTTTTTAATGAAAACAGAGAATCATGCGATTCCCCAGAGCTGACTCTCTCTCTACCAACAGGCCAGATCCTCAGCTGCTGGATCAAATAGCACCGGTCTTATGAGGTCTGTGGAGATCTGTCAATCAACCCCAGGTCAGGTGCTGTTATGACATCCAAACCTTTGGTGATGCTCAAACAGCACCGTACTTAGACTCTTGGCAGTCCCAGGCAAACTTTTAGTATTGAGCCCCCCTTCGCCAGAAATAATGATAATAATAATTGGACAAGTGGGGAAAAAAATTACCATTTTCAGGCCCTCTTTCTGACCAGGCCCCGGGTGACCACTCTGTTTGCCCATGCCTGTGTCTGGCCCTGGGCTCAAACCCTCAACTCTGACATCCACATTTTGCAAAGGGTTGAATGGAAAGTCCAGATCCAAACCCCATGAGGGCTCCAAAA